CATATTAGCGATGTTTATGATTGGCTTTCGCGACCAAATGTGGCTAACTGTGGCTAATTAAATTTCCTACTCAAATTAAACCTTTAAATGTTCGTTGTCAGAAATTTCACACAGCAGAAAATCTTTTTCATTTCAAAGTAGTAGGGAGGATTAGTTACATCAGTAAGCGATGAGGGAAGGAAGATTATACATTGAAGGTTGAGCATATGTTAGCAGATTTGCATATGTACAATTTCACCAGAGTTCTGTGTGTGTACGCAGCGGCCATCTGGCTTGCAAAGATTTAGGACAAAAGCCATGAAGTGCAATTCTCACACAAAGTGTCCAACACTTGACAGAAAGGAAAGGAAGAAAGAGGCTGCAAACTGAAGAAACCTAAAATACAGGGCGAGGGTGTTTTTGGCCGCACACAGTGGAAATTATCTCCCAACAACCTGAGCCTGATTTACGGGCTGAAAGCCGGAGTCGCCGCTGTCTGAGAGCCTCAGCGAGATCCCAAAAAAAAAAAAGAAAAGAAAGAAAAGAAAAGAGATTGTGGATTGTGTGTTGAGGTTGGGACCGTAGGTCCACATGTGGAGCTGAACTGTTAAAGTCACAGAACCGGAGTTTCGAGATTCCTGAGAAGGAAGGAACTGGGTTTGTTTTTAGGTCTGGCAAGACATTTTATCCAAGAGGAATCCTCGGCTCTGGCTTACTCTGGTATTCAACCCCATGCGGGGGTCTTCAGCCTCTTCAGGGTCAGTCGGTTCGTGTACGTATCGCTGCCCTGAGTCCCAGAAGATATGCGCGTCTGCAGGCTCAAACAGATAAGGTCTGCAGAAACGCATCACTAAACTGTAACAAATAAAAAAAGGGATAGCTCTGAAAGTGAAATACTAACAAATGTTTACAGCAAACTCTCTTAGCATCTAAATCTTATAGAAACCCCAGAGGCTAAAGCTAACGGGTAGTCCGAGAAGACCCAACACCAGAGGGGGCTTCTACTGACTTAAAATAAATACACACTGTAGTATTTCAAAGCAGTTCACACACTTTGATAAATCTTAAAAGGTTTCCTTTTATTGTTATTTAAAAAAAAAAGTAAATGATTATCTACACACAGCAAATAGAAGGAAGGAGGCGGTGCACCACCTGTGATCTTCCTGTGTGAAACACAAATTGAGAGAGGAAAATATAAACCACGTCCAATATAACTACACCTGAAACAGTTCAAGAGAATAAAGTTTTCTGTCAGGTAGTTTATTCTGATCGGAAACCTGTTACATCTCATGAAGTGTTTCACACAGGAAGATCCAATGTGGCGCACAGCCTCTTTCCTTTATTTCCTCGATAAATAATAATAGACTTCTATATGAACAACCACCCTGAAACAAATACTCAATTATCCAGTTCAGACCAGAGAAAATCTAATGTGGTCCATCTGCATTAAAAACTGCTATAAGTAAATAGGCTTTGGCCAGGAATACCTTGAAAAAGAGGTTTTTAATCTTAATGGACTTTTTATTCTAAAGGTTAAACTTTTATCTTGCAATTTTTTCTCCTTATTTCTTTATTTTTCTCTTTACATTTATTTTGCTGTCACAAAAATAAATGTAAAGATGGAGGCCTCAAAAATGTCTTAGTAGCCAAGTGTTATTGACCACAACCAACAGTTTTTAAGCAGACTGTCAACAAAAAAAAAGGCATTTTTAAGCTAGGTTTATAAGTTGACACTGTCCACCGCTAAGCATTAGCCTCGCATGCTGTAGCAGCGCCTGATTGTGGAACTCTGAATTTTTGTAAATCTGAAGAAATACTTCCTTCCTTATTCCAAAATCAGAGTCTCAAAAATATCTTTAAAAAAAAAAAAAAAAAAAGGTGTCGAGCTTAAAGCGGTTGACTGGTGTGCAGCACTCATGCTAGCTTACAGCTACTTCATAAGAGCAACTGAATAGCATTTTGTGAAGATGAATCTCGTTCTCACTCAGCTTTATGACACCTCCAATACTAAATCAGGACTCCAACAGTTTTAGGATTTTAACAAAACCTCACTTCAACAAATCCAGAACGTTGTCCTTTAAGGAGCCAGAAATGTGCAGCCCTTTCCACACAAACAGGACAAACTCTTTTTAAGTCCTTGGTGACAGTCCACATGTTTCATCTCCACATCCTGGACCCAAATGAGCTGTGGCAGAGGTGGAGAGCACATTGTTTTGACATAATTATGGACCAGTTTTTTTTTTTTCCCCATCTTCCGCTGGAGAACAGCAGCTGAGCCCAGCTCTTAATTAGTATGATATGTATAGAAGAGTGATTTATGACTTCATTTAGTTTGGAGATCCTATGGAGGGATTCTTTGGAGATGCTCTCTTTTTAAGTATGAAAGCAAGCAAAATTAGCTACTCAGTGAACGAGAAAAGAAACCGAGATCAGGAACGACAGACAGATTATCTTTCGCACATAAAAGTGAAGAAACTAATATTGAGAGAAGGGTTCAAAGCTACAAGCTTTCTTATCCGGGAGCCCAAACAATAAATTACCCTCACATTCACTGAAATGTGTGGTCTGTGAGGTTTTTCTAATGACTCAAAGAGATATTCATCAAAGGTGGGAAGGAAGTCTTTGTTGTCTTTTCTTCTAAACAAGCCTGAGAGAGGGTAAACGAAGCCAGTCAAATGTCACTGCAAGCAGCCGCTGCTGCGCGCACTCAGCTAGTTTCAGAACACGACACCTTCGAGCCGCTGCCATGACGGGAATCCTCCGCCGCACAACCGGGTCCTGCTTCTACTTTCACAGGGGATTTTCTCGTCTGTTAAAATGGCATGTGTGTGTCCAGGAGCATATGGCACACAATCAGTTTTCTTGGTAACACTTTATTTGAAGAGGGGTGAATAAGACTGTCATGACACCGTCATAAACATGACATAACACCTGTCATGAACATGAATAAGTCTTCATGAATATTTATGACTGTTGTCATAAAGCGTCATTCAGTAAATTATGACATTTTTAATACAAAGTTGACATTATTCAAAATGTCTTTGTTATGACAACTTGTCATTAACCAAGAAATCATTACTGTTTAAACTTTACCTTTAATAACATAAAGTTACCTCATTTTTAAAGTGCAATCAGTAATTCTTTTATAACAAATTTATATCAATAATGATTTCTTGTTTAATGTCAAGTTGTCATAACAAAGACATTTTGAATAATGTCAACTTTGTATTAAAAGTGTCATAATTTACTGAATGACTCTTTATGACAACAGTCATAAATATTCATGAAGGCTTATTCATGTTTATGACAGATGTTATGTCATGTTTATGACAGTGTCATGACAGTCTTATTCACCCCCCTTCAAATAAAGTGTTACCGTTTTCTTTAACTCTAAGAAACCTTGCAGGTTTAACTGCCTCACTGACTGTCATTCCTCTGCTTAAGGTAATTCACTTTAATAATGGACCAGAACATCCAACTTTTTTACCATTAAGGACATTTTTATGACAACATTAACTGAACTCAGTCACTTTATCTTTGTCATTGTGCCTTAAGATATAAATCCTGAAGTGAAATAGAAGGACTTCATCGTTAAATGCTTGTATATATAAGGTCTAAGAAGAATTGAAGTTTGTTAAAATAGCAATGTGACGCCTGGGTTGCACCAAGGAAGCGATCTAGCAAAAGATTGAAAGGGGTTTCTGCTTTCTGGACGGTCGCCTCCGCTTTGAAATTCAAGAATTTGGCCGACCAAACTGAGAAATCTCTAGATAAGCAACAAATGGAAGGTTTCATGGTTTTAGAACAATAGAGAAGGAGCTTGGCTGACGCATTGTTTCGTTCTTTTGGGTCGACTCTGTCCAAGCCCTTGTCATGGAGTCCAACTTACTGGTCAACATTGTTAAATCCAGTCTGATAGAGAACAATGATATGCTGGAAAGCTGGCTTAGCAACCATCCGTTAAGAAATAAAGCAATCTCACCAGGATTTAGATTCATTTTAGTGTCGGTCACTCTATCTTTTTCTGTCATCTGGTTCATGGCTGACTTCATTTCAATAAAAAGTTCCTCAAGATGAAAGAATAGTTAGCATGGAATAACAGAGATTCACATTACAAACACACTGAATGTCTCCCATGAAATGCCTACAGATGTTTTCAGTCAAAACTTACAAGATAACAATTACTAAAACACTCTACTAATCAACTCTTTACTGCCAGAGAGAAGTTATTACCCAGTGTCAGACTAAGGAAATTCCTCCCCACCAAGCTTCCACGGTACTGCTGAAAAAAGAAAACGAAGAAAAATACTAAATGGTAAATCCAAAATCCTGCAGTTCATACTTGAGTTAAATGTTTGCTGAATCGGGAGGAATTGTGTCCTTGTAGAAGACACTTTTACAAAACTTTGAGAGGGCTTGGAGACTCAGAACTGGCCGAAGGTATTTTAAGAATATTTTTAATGAAGAATGTCTTGACTAGGAACTTTTACCTCTGCCTAACACTTTCTGATATCTGAGCACCTAGAATAATTTTTTATGCAAATGTTATCATAAAACTTGTACAAAAATAATAGACCATTGTCATTTTAATGTACCGGAGGACATTCACTACCCTTCAAAGTAACACTTAGATTATATCAATTGGTCTTTTTTCCAAAATGTGGAAGGCGTGGTGCAGTATTTTGTGGATTTTCTAAACTAAAATAATGAAATTCAACATGTAGTAGGCTGCTCCTTCTTTACATACAAACTCAGAAGGAATTAGGGTTGTTGTCACTCATTTTTAGGTTGAAAACGCTGGAAAGGAAATAACACAGTTATTGTGTTCTTAACTCATCAGCAGCATCTGAGGAAAAAACATATCATACTACAGGTTCAGAGGCGAGTGACAAGATTGGGAGAAATGAAATATTTCATTCTGGCGAAGTCAGACTTTAAACGTTTCAAGTTACAGAGCAAAAGATCGACGGGAATACAAACATAATACAGGCGCAAAAACAACCACTGTTCAAGATTTACACCCACTTTGCAGAAAGCTGCAGACACAAGGAGAAGTTGAGAGAGTCTGCTGTGCTCCACTTAGAGAAAAGTTGCCTTGGTATGAGCCCAGAGCGCGGGCCTGTGGTATCTACAGGGAGGCCGATCCACTCAATGGTGGGTTTCCTGTAAATTCTCCTGGTGACACCCATGAGGGACTCTGACATAACAACCGGTAGTCAGTTTGCCTCTGGCCAGTCAAGCAGGGAGGAATAAAAACAGCTTATGCACATGTTTGAACTGCTCTTAGCAAACAATTAGCAGCAGCTTTTGTTGGAACTTCGTGTTAAAGTTGCTCCTTCCCCCCCCTTTCTCACCCTCAAACTAAAAACAGCTCTTGTCGGATGTTTAACTTTCACTTTGATAAGTCTCCCCACCGCCCCGAAAAGAAAGAAAAAAACCAAACGTAGTGCCCTTGATGATTGGCGAGCCAGACATTATGAAACCGTGCCGAGAGTTGCGTATTAGTCAGTAATTAAGCAAGTGGGTTTAGGGCTTTTTCAAGTAATCCTATCTGCACACGGTAGATTCTTATCACTCAATATGACATTTTGAGAGAAGATGCAGAAAAATGACTAATTTGTAAGAATGTTTAGCACCATTTGTTCGGCTCACACACGTCTCTAAATTAGTTTCAGACCGCCAAAAAACAAAAAAGAGGATTGTGAAGAGAGATCAACCTATTAAAATTTTATGAGTTCGCCTTCTGAAAGGTGAACATGACTCAAGGAGAAACCGTTTCGAGTGTCTGACGTCTGTCCTTGACATCACGTCTTGCACCGATACACAAACCTCGTCACCGGCGCATGTGACTCCAGGCTGGCAGCAGCTTTCGACTCAGCTATGATCGGCTATTGGCGATAATAAGAATGAAACGCATTTCAAAGTTTGATCACATACTTGAAAGAGAAAAGTCGTCAGTGTTGAAACAAAGGCATTATGAGTGCAGGGTGTTATACTTGGGGTGGGAATGCAGGTCAGGTTTACATGCGAGTCGGGTCAAACGACAAAATGCAGCGGGGAGAGCGCTGCTCGGTTTCTCCAGCTGACCAGTTGGGGGCAGCACAGTGCCAGAAAAAAACAAAATTGCTTTTCAGAATTCTGTGGTGATTTCACCTCTTCGTCATCAGGTGCATTTGTGGTTTCGGAAGATATTTTTTAGACGTGTCATTCTCACTTTGATGAATTGGAAGTAATTTTACATCCAAAATAAATATATAAATAAAGTCCAGGGTTTCCCCAAGTGTATTGTAAGCCTGGCGGGCCACCAGGCTTTACTTGCAGCCCCACCAGGCATATTGCATATTCTAAGACTTTATAGTTGGTGTTCAGGTGTTAATTTTACAATAACACATGATTATCAAGTGATATTTTCAAATTTCCTGTCAACGTTTAACATTTTTTAACTCAAAAACACAATGGGGCGCTGGATGGATGGCTGCTCTAGCGCCCAACCACCATCCTTAGCAAGTTTTCTGGGGGAAACCTTGAAGTCTATCCACATAAAAATAATAAAGTATTTCGAGTCCATGTCTTAGTTAATATTTTACTTTGTGATTTAATTTATTAATTAGTTTCTTATTGTGACAGTCCATCTTTTCAAGTTATTTTCAAATAGAAAAACGCCCTTGTTCTACTACTTCTCTACAGATAATACATATTAAAAAAAAAAAAACACAACTGACCTTCACATATGTCTTCCAGCATATATAGGATAACCCTAAACCCCAACATGGGACCTGATGTAAAAAATTTTAAGTAAAGGGTCACAGTCTGAGACTTCGTGCGCTCCTGCTGGGCTTTAATCAGAACAAGTATGTCCCTTTAAAAAAAAAAAAAGAAGATGAGTGGAGCCAAACCTCGGGCCCCCCCGCCTGCACAGCCTCCTTTGTCCCCACAATAAACACGGCCCCTGACTGCTCACTGCAGCCCTGATGCCGGCCCCTGCTAGACAAAAGACACATCCACTCGCTGCACCAAATTGAGTTATTTTTTATGCTAATCCCAGATTTTTTTTTATCAGACAATTCCCCCCACCCCTTACTTGGCATAGAGGAATTAAATAAAAAAAAAAGGAAAATGAGAAGAGACCCCCGATTATCTGTTCATAAAGATGTCTCATCCCCTGACAAGAAGAGAAGACTGCAGAAGGCTTTAGCGCTCCTGTTTGCACGTTCGAAATGCAGATGCTAATCTAAATCATATTAAAGACACATGTTTAACCAGAAAATGAACGCGGATTTTAGCGGACGCATCACCCAAAACCTAATCAGATCCGAGCAGTGTGGAATGCAAAGCATCTCCTAAAGCGCTGACATTGCTTTCAACATTAAAGTCCTGCAAAATGGATTCTTGAGCAAATCAGTAAAAACAAATATTATCAACGGTAATATTCCTGACTCTTTTAAATAATAGTGTTTCATTAACCCTGTGAGCATGCAGACGACGAAGAAAAGCTGCAAGAGAGGTGATAGGAAGTGATTTCTGCAAAATAGGGAAGTGATATTTCTGCCTTAAAATGAGACAAAACATTTTACTACTAGAAGGTTACAGTATTTAGTTTTTTGCAGACATTTACAAAAAGGAGTAAAGCATATATATAATCCAAAGAAAATCTAAATAAAACACTGGTACCTCTGTTTCATGAGAATGCAAATCACTACCTTATTGATTAAAAGTAAGTAAAAGAAATGGTGCAGAGGAGGTTTAAAAAAGTTCAGTTTTATTTCTGTAAAAAGCAGGGGGATCCTGCTTTTTCTGATGCAAAAGGTTGGAAGTGTTTCCATAACGGCTGCTTATTATTTTACATGCAGCAGGTTGCCATCACACGTCTCAACCTTTTCAGGCCAGCCGACCTTCACAGAAGAACTCTGACCCATTTAGAGGTCAAATTGTGAATCCCGCCAAAAGAAAAAGTGAAATAAAACTAATTTACACAACTCACCCAAAGTTCCTGCACTTTCGTTCAGAGTAAAAAGTAAGACGATTGCATCACGTCATCCTTTTTTTTTTTTCCCAGAAACTAAAAGGAAAACCCAAGAAGTGACTTCCCTTTCCGGAAACAATTTATTTTTTTGCAGCTGACCTTTCCATCAGCCTTTTAAGAAGTGGATCAAATATACAAACACTCAATATTTTAGGTTTATTGTTACACGGAAGCAAAAATCACAGCAAAAAACAAAAAATGTCCTAGTCTAGGTATTCCAACTGCCAAAGCTACATTTTATTTTGAATAATCTAGATAGCCTCTATGACAAAAATCTTTGAAATACATGAATTTCCGTGAATAATTTGGAGTTACGATTCGCAGAAAAACTCTGAACTGCAATTAGACGGGGGTTCAGTGTAGCTCTGTGGAAAAAAATATCCAGTTCTTTCATAAATGAGCTGCTGATGTCACTTTACCACAATTTACTGATATACTGCTTTCGTCTACTCTTCTTCACTTGGCATGAAATTGGCTTAATGCAGTGTTTTTCAAAGTGATGGTCATTAGGTGGCGCTAAGGAGGCCTCAGAACACTGGAGGGAAGATGAGATGCTAAAACTATTGAATCTAATACATTTTTTTTTACCATAAATGTTCAATGACTTTTTTTTAAATCATAAAATCTAACCTGTTTACCTCAGTCATCTTTCTGATTGGTTGGCAGTAAAATTCACCAAGCTGCTTTGCTCCTAACGTACCAAACGAGGAATGGACGAGTTCCTGACCAGAAAAACTTGTTGTGACAGCAAAAGCCCTCTAGGATGTGCAGCACTTACTTTGACACCAACTGTGATAAAAACAGGATAAATCTGGTGCTGTGTGATCAGCAGATGACTTGGTGTCCAGTTGTGACACTGTGTAAACAAAGAGCCGCTTTATGTCTGAATCCGTTTGTACTTTCAAAGGTCCAATGAGAAATATGCTGTGAGCACGCTCCATTATGGATTCTATTGAAAATCTGGCAATAAATTAAGCAATAAGCAGCAATAAATGCGTCTTCTGACACATTAGCACACTAACCATTTGTTAGCTGGCCTTCTGAAAAAAACAAACAACCAAACTGATTAGCGTCGGCCTACGGCAAGTTTTTTTTTTTGTCTTCAAAAATAAAAAGGGTTGGATTAACAAGTTGTTTTAAAATCCGTCTGATTTTGAGGAAACCTTTTGGACATTTTTCAGGAAACGCTCACTGGGAGTTCGTTAGCTGAAGCCGGGAAACAAAACATGAAAAACAATGACACTGCTGCAGGCGTCGGCGCCACAAAGTCAAAACACTGCAAACTCAGAATGGACGTGCCAACGAGCTGCTGAGGAATCTGACTCATAATACACACACCCAGCTTAAAAAAAGGGCTAAAAACTTTATTCAGTGTCTCCACTGCTGCTGACAATTAAAGCTGCAACAGAAACTGCAACAATACAAGAACTACAACTTTCTAATGGTCTCTTCTGCTGATAATGACCTGTACAGAGGAAGTGAATCATTTTCTATAGATTAGTTCTTAAAAATTCAATTTACCAATTCAATTTTGACAAGCTTCGTGCAAAATTAGGAGGAAGGTATTAGTGCTGTAAATCAGGTTCGAGCTCACACCCTCCAAAAAAAAGGGGAAAAAGTAAAACAACAAAAACAGAAAACTACTAAATTTTGTTGAAGACTTCAACAGATTTTAAGTCTCCATAGAGCTAGAGAGAACTCCAGTTGGAGCAGGAACAGTGTGATGGAAAATCACGGTGGTTTCAGAACTATTGGTTTCAAACTGAATTAAATCAAGCACATGGTTTGCAAATTTTAAATTCATTCCATGTTTTCATGATCAGAAAGAAAATTATTTACAGAACTAGGTCAGCTGCAGTAAGCAATAAATCAGTTAATCACATGATCCATTGAAATGAGCTCAATAACTTCTATTTGCACAATTTATTGTTTTTCTCTTTTCTCTCTTTCTACCAAAAACTGGATGATAAAAGTCTTCAGTCTGGTTTCAACCAGACCACTTTTTGACAAACACTTACAGAGACTTCATAATTCACTTTATTTAATGCTTCTGTTGTTTTATGTATTTTTGGATTTTTAAAATGTCTTCCACTTTCTGTGTTAAATGTTCATTAGAATTTAAAGTTTATTGATCTTTGAGAATGTCTTCCTGCATTATTTTGCCATTATTGTTGTATTACTTGAAAATAATGTCAAAACAATAAGATTATCATGTATCACAATAACTTCTGGGACAATTCATCGTCCAGCAAAATGATTCATCATGTGATGCCTAAACAGAAGTAAGATGTGTGTGTAGCAGCCCGACCATGTAGTCACACGATTCTGTCCTTTTGAAAAACTATTGGTGACTTTTGTGAAGGTTTTTCAGTTTTCAGCAGCCACTCACTCCTAACTGGAACGTTGTTTAATGTCTCCATAATGAGTCAAAGTCATTTCATGTTCCTCAAGTAGAAACCAACCTAGCTATTCTCACCATTCAGAGAAACGACTGATGCAGGTATTTCAATGGGTTTGTTTATGTTTGATTTATTGTTTTACTCTGCAAAACTCTGTTTTTGTCCTTCAATTAGAAGGATATTCATCAGAGAGCAAATATTTGAAAATGACCTTTGGTTTAATGCAAGAGTATAGAAACAAAAATGTTTTTTGTTTGTTTTTTTCCAGACTACATATGTAAGATATCTCCTTACTGAATCTCTCTAATAGCCGTGTGTTAAACGTCTTGTTTCTTTTTGGGGGGTTTTCTTGTTTGTTTGCCCTCCTTTCAGCGGTGGGCAAACCTGAAAAAGCAGCCGTCTAAGAACAATTTTCACAAAGCCAACATCTGCAGCAGAAGAAGATCTGAAGTCAAACCGCAAACCCCCACTGACAGCCGTGTTTTCAGCCTCACAGTGTGATCACTACACGCCGAATTTCATAACCGTTTCCCCTGTTTTGGAAATCTAGGTGCTCTCAGGGGGGGCTTGAGGGTAGACGTTTAGATAATGCTCATGTTACAACATATCAGCCAGACAGGAAGCTGGAAGACGCACGGCTGCGCGCCATCGCCTCTGTGCCACGTCCCGCCGTTAGAACATCTTGGACGCTGGAGACTTCACAACAAATTCTGAAAAGTTTACAAACGTTCCTAAACGGCAAACGACTCAAGCAGAGCGTCGCATTTATAACTTATTAAAACATGCCCTTGCTTTTTCAATTCAAATGAGCAATCCTGATGGCTTTGACTTTTCACCGTTCTTGTCCATCTGCAGCCTACTTCCTGTGTTTTACCATACTCTTATTTAAATAAAATATTTTTGATATAATTTGCATAAATTGTCCCAATGTTGTTCCTCTTTGAGTCAAAATCCTGAGCTTGTAAAATTAGCTTTTTAACATAGCATGTTTTACCTTTAAGAAAAAAAAAAAATGCCTCTCCTGGAGAAAACACCAAGAATCTTTCATAAATATGCTTTTTCTAAAATAAAATACCCCAATTATCATCTATTATTCGCTCAAAATTATATTACCCTTTGCAGATAGTTGCTTTTTTTAAAAAATAAAAAAAAACTTGAGTTTTACAATTCAAAGAAGAAAGCTATTAGCTTAATATTTCAACCTGCACTAAAGAAAATTTAACACCCACACACTCACTACGTGCAATTATCGTGTTGAAAGTAAGACAGAAGTCTTTTTTTTTTTTAAATAAACCATCGTGTCCCCAGAGACGTAAAAAAACAAAAAAAACATTCAACATAAGGCTTCCTGAACTCACACATGACTGCAAACCACAGCACTTGCACTGTTTATTCAGTATTATTCATGCAGGAACTCCACCTCCCTCCTTCCCTCCCCACATCTAAAATGTCAATACCGTCAACTGCTCAGAGTCCCTCATTCTCACCACTGTTCTTAAATTAACGCCTCTAACAGAGCCTCACTCCAGGACGGGCTCAGTACAACGCCGTTACAACGGCTACACAGGAAAAATGATGCGAGTCAGCACCTTTTTAAGCCACGCGCCATTCTGACCTCTTGAACTTTCTCACGTTTTATCATGTTACAATCGCAAACTTCCATGTATTTTATTGGGATTTTCATGTGACAGATTAATGCAGAGCAGTGCATAATTGTGATGTGGAAGGAAAATGAAGCTGAAGAAAGAATAATAGTCCAGTAAAGAATAATATTCTTTACTGGACTATAACAGAAAACACTGTTCAATTATTAGAAATAGGAATATTGGACCCGTGATCCAGTGCAACCCGGTGTTGCTGGCACTTTCTACAAAGTGCCGACTACAGGAGACTATTTTTTGAAATAAAAAAGCTGAATATTACTTATCCTTTATGAATACTTTAGCAAGTCACTCTACATTTATTTATTTATTTATATTTTTTTTTCCATTTTGAGCTCAGGTCCTCTGAGTTTTCAAAAAAGGCTGAAAAGCTTTAGCTAAACCTCCTCAAGGTCTAGATGCAATAGGTTTTGTAAGACTGAAAAAAAAACCTAATTGAAAACTTGGAGACCTACTTTAAAAACATTTACCAAAAGGTAACAATGTGGAAAGACACACATTGTTAATTACAGACAATACTAGACTTAATAAAGTTCATCTGCAACAGACAGAAGATTTATGAATGCCACACCCTCAGCTGGAAAAAAGAAAGTTGAGGGATGCGGACGAGCATCTTCAGTCTGAAGATTTACAACTTAAAAATAATCTATTAAAGGGGCAGTATTACATAGAGTCCTTTTAAAGCACAATCAAGTAAGTATGCTACCATCAGTTGTTATAAAAATGCTTTTAATACGACTTAAAAGAAATAAGATTTAGTAATTTAAAGCCTTGAAATTGGGCCTCAATTCAGTTCCACCAGGCATTTGCTAATTGCTCCAGGCTAGTCTGCAGGAGCTGGGTTAGAAAACCGCTTCAAAGGTGGAGCTAGGTCCAACCAGGCGTTTTGCACAGCTGAATGGTTGCCATGGGAGATTTAAAGGTTTCTCAATCATGCAGGAAAAAAAACAAACTCAAAGCAACAATCCAGGTGTGTTTTTGATGAATAACACTTTAACAGGATGCAAAGCTTAAAAAGGTCAACCTTACATAATCCTGCCCCCCTTTAATAATTTGCTTGATATCAACACTTTTAGGCATTTCTTTGTTTTGTTACCTGCAGGGTCAGACAGGCCGGCGTCTCCCATCTGTTTGTACGGGTTGAACTTGGGCTTGGGTGCGACCATGGGGGCAAACTTCTTGGGGGCCTGCTGCTGAGAGACGGAGATGCTGGCGCTCCCCAGAGACGGAGTGGTCTCCATCCTGGCAGCTACCTGTCCGCTCTGGTCATTTGGTGGGTTCCACATGGCTCTGAGCTGAAAAGACACACATCATCAATTCAGATCACTGAATCTGTCTCTCACACACACACACACACACACACACAGCAAATAACTGAAGTAAAAATCTCTCTGGGTTCTGGAGGTGGAAGTAAGTGATTATTTCTGTAGATTTCCTTCCCCCAGGCCCCATTAAGATTGTGCAAGATTTAAAGCAGCTGGCAGATTTACAGTGCAAAAATAAGAGAGCGAAGGCGATGCTCTTGACACGCAACAACGTGTCCGTTCTGATAAAGAACCTAAAGCGGAGAGGAAATCACTTTGAACCCTGACTGTGATCGTCGTCTGCGCTCGCAATGCCTACACGGCATCAACAAATCAAACGTGCGATACGCCAGACAAAGAGCGGCGAAAAACAAAGTATTTTAAAAACAGAAAGAGTATTGAAAAATGATGTAATTCATATGTAACCAAAACATTTTTAAGTGTTGACAGCTGTCAAAAAAGGAGATAGAATCAGTCGTTGGGCGAGATAGGGATCATTCTGATTTATAAACCATGAAGGATTATGAATTAGATTATGGGAGTAATTCTTTTTTCTTTTTGTTTTTTTTCCTGTAAGAAATAATTAAAATCTGTGATCAAAAGTGCCAATTTGCACCGTGTGGCATTCAGACTTTATTTATTTAAAATGTACATGGTGTACACTACAGTTACAGTACAGAGAACATCATCACCAGACACTAATACGACTTGCAGACGCTGAGGACACACACATGCAGTGTTTCACCAGAACCTTCTGAAATCATTTGAAATATTTCAACTATTTATGCACCGCTCTCTCTCTTTCTCTCTCTCTCTGTTTCTCTCTCTCTCTTTGTCTCCTTTTTGTTTGTGTTTTGTTGTTCTGATGTTTCTTGCTCTTTATTATCCTCACTCCATCTGATGCAGGGTTTGTATTCTTTCTCGGGAGCACGGCAGACAAGCCCACGCGCAATCATCCTTTAATACCTGCTCAAATCCCTCTGCACCCCCCCTGCCTCCTCACTGGCTCTTAGTTATGATTTCTTTCCTCCTGCTCTGCGTGCTGCACAATTCAGATGAGCGTCGCTGTGTCACACCCACCTGTCTTTGCAGACCAACTTCTGTACTTTCCCAACACAGTCATGGTAAATAGACTAAAACATGGATCACAGCGCAACCGCTTCGGGGGACAGAGACAACCACCGCCATCAAACACAACTTGGGTTGGGTGATGTGGACTTAAGGGTTTTATCACGATATTTTGTGGTACTATTGTGAAATTGATAAAAATGACGATAAGAACTATTTATTACTTATTTTTTAGGTAACTGTGTGGCTGTAACTGCAAGGCCCCACAGACACTGCTCTCGAAAAACATGTCAAGAAGTAATTTATATCACTAAGATGCACAAAGTAACTTTTTGGTATTTGAAAATATGTTTTTCACTGTTTGTTCCAGTCTTTGAACAAAGAATGGAAAAAGCAGTACAACTAGCAATCTCCATAATTTGGACAGTCTTGAGAGTTTTAAACATAATTTAATTTGAATTTATTGTGGCAACAGTAAACCAGAATTCTAAGTATATCAATAAATGATAAACGATATGATAAATGCCACACTCCTAATCCCAAGAAATACCAGGTTGCACCAAACCAACACTATTAAGTGATGGATGTAGTTACTGAGAGAAGACCAAGTTGACTATTTTCAGTGTCACTAAGATGTTTGAACGCTGAAGTCAGAAGAAGCAAACGGACGGTTGTGAGAAACTTCCAGGAAAATAAAGCATTTTTCACATGTCAGTAAAAATGAGAAAGAAAGAAGGAGAGAAAGACAGGGAGACACGACTTTGAGCAGGTAACAGGAAGGCTAATCATTTATCATCTTGAACTTAAAGTTCTGAATTCAGTAGTAGTGGTGCACAATATATTGGCCGATGTTAGTCACTTTTTAACATATCGTTATCGGCCCAATAAGTAAATAGGTGCTAATATTAATAACAGACATTTATTTGCATCTTATTGATGTTTATGTATGTTTTTCAGGTTTGTGGTATTTATTTCAGCACAATAATAGTTCTGCAGGATTTGGAGTGTTTACCTGAAGGAAAGGAAATGTCAGTGGTGTGGTTATTTGTCATGGTGTTGAAGGGTTGGGAACTATATATAATATCTGTATCGGTTATCAGCCATAGGGGCAACAGTAATATCTGACATTATATCGGCCTAAATGTTCACATCTGTTCAGCCCTGTTTTCTAGCATACTGCTACGGGAACTAGGCCTGTCACAATGACAAATTTTGCAGGACTGTTCCAGATTGTTCCAGAAGTTATTGCGATACATGATAATATTGTTTTGAGACCATTTTCAAGTAACATAATAGTAATCGCATACTAATGCAAGAACACATTCTCAAAAATTAATCAATTTTAAATTGTAATCAGCATTTAACGCTGGAACCGGAAGACATTTTAAATATCTGAAATAAATAAAACGGAGACAACAAATAAAATGAACTGTAAAGTCCAAAGCACCAGACAGAAGACTTTGTCATCCAGTTTTTGGTGGATGAAGAAAGAAGAGAAAAACAATAAATCACAAAAATGGAAATCGAGTTTGTTTTAATGTATCATGCGATTAATAGAGTCATTGATTATTGCGACAGGCCTACTGGGGACGTTTGCTTATTTTAAAGTTGTTGCTAAGCTTCCCACACTATTTACTGATCTAAGATCCCAGAGAGAGTTTTCATTCTGTATTAAAGATGTTATAACCCTGTTTTACAGTGTTTGACATTGCCTCTGCTCCTGGCATAAATAATAAATAACCATTTACAGAAGAACGGTTATGTTCAATGATGTTCGCACCTCTTCTTATTGGCCGTAAGACATCTCAGAATTGGTTCATAGCTGCGTTTGCAGGTGAAATTCTGATCGCTACATCTCCAATTTGCTCAGGATGATTTATGTTGCTCTCCATCAGGGTCAGATTTTTGAAAAAAAAAAAAGAGCTAGGACAGTTGCATTTCCAATTTCTGACCTAAAAGTAGGCCAGCCCTTTGTCATTTGCATAAGTCGCAAATGACTGAATGCTCTTTAAAATGGAATACAGCACAACAACAGGTTTTCTGTCATTCTTCTGGTGATTTATGATGACCACGGCCGGACGGTTTAGATTACCTTTATTTTTAAAATCCCATAAGTGTTCCATGTCACATGTCCATGTTCCATGTCGAGCTGATATACTCGTTCGTCTTGCTCCTACCGGACAGAGAAGCTTCGTCTTGTCCAATAGCTTTTGTTTTCCTGGAGGCTCACATTATCACGTCTGCTTGGACTGTGCAGCCACTGTGGCAATTCAGACTCACTTCAAATCCGAACCACTACAGATCGTCAGAGTTGAAAATGTTGACCTTGGTTTCCTGAAACGGAGGAATATTTCAAGTATTCTTCGGGCTGCATTGTTCAGCTGAAAAGCTGGATCCTACAGTTTGCTTCTGAAGAGAAAACACAGCTTTGCTCCAATAGGACCATGTCAGAGTATGTCTTTTTGCAGCGTTTGGACTTCATACAGATAACCTCAGTGCCTTATTTGATAAATCCGACCGCCTGTTTTTCTTCAAACTATTTCCTAAGACTTTGAAGGTCAGTTGAAGCAGTTTTCTTCTGCAGCATTTACTACAAACTAAAGTCAGTGTAGCTGGCAGCGACTCGTTTGCAGTAAAAAAGCTTAATACGGAATTGCCATGACAACATCTCAGACAAAATTTTGACTAAACAAATGTAATGTCATCTTGCCATGTGTGCCTAAGCATATTGATAAAATGGGTCTATGTGCCTTTAGACAAGAGCAAATTAAGATTTTTCATGTTTTGTATAAATATGTGTTGGTTTTGGTGGACCAGGATGCTAAACAGTATCGGGATCAGAGATGTGGAATTTACAGTTTTCTGCTGTGTCAGGACCAGGTGTGTTACTTTTGCCATATTCTCACTCTTTTGCTACGTTTTCTTCATATTTTAAGATCATTTCAGGGTAAAATCAGAAATTTAAATGCCCACAAGTGGTCAGACGATTTTAAGCCAAACCAATCAGAAACCTGGGCAAACGTTTAGTTTTACTTTCAGTTTCAAGCATCCTACAGAGCATCTTCATAGTGAAATTGAGCAATGTCACCATTGGGTTACTGCAGCAGTATTTGAGCCAACAGTTGAGTAATTTTGGTAGCAGTGTTGCACATATGCAGCTTCCATGGTTCCTTCAGCAAAATTTCTCGACATGTCCAGAAAAATCCATGGCAGCCTGACTTATCTGGTCAAATGCTCCAGTAAGAGTGTTACTTCCTGTGGCGCTGCGTCTCCCTGTGCGACACAAGGCAGATATGCAATAGTGTGAAAGGGGTATTACAAAGTACAAGAAAAGGTTTGAGGAAAAAGTCACTTTTGTGCTTTTAGTTTGTCTCCATATTTCTTTGAACTTCCGCAAGCTAACCCCACCACAAAAACACGCACGCACACCCACCACTCACCAGAGCACATACACAACACTCTAGTTAAAGTGGAGGCTCATAAAAAAGAAAGGCTTTTGTGATTGCCGGGGCAGTTTGAGATGACTCTCAGAGGCGTGACAGCACATTAAACAGTTCGCCTTACGAGGGCACTGCAGTCAGAATGTCTTCTATCAGTCGTTTCTCTGCACTTTTACAGCTGTCATTGAGAAACTGCTGCAGGTGCTTCTGTCACATTAATCTTTCATATCCACCAAGGAAACTATCAAACAAAGCCATCCGAAAGAGGACCACAGAGAGTACGGAGTTCTAACATAAAATGGCAGGGTTCAGAGATTTTTTTATTTTTTTGTTCAGGAGAAGGCTTGACATGCTTTCTAGCAAATATTCTCCGAGGCCTGTGAACCAGATCACGTGTTGAAGACATAATCAAAACCGCAGACGCCGGAGTGATCGGAAGCTCCCGTAAAATAATAAATAAATAAATACAACGCTGTGCCGACT